GCTGTTTGCTGAAGCCCAGAGCCGGACCCTGTTCCCGCCGCCACCGGCCGGTGGAGTTGAGACTGGAGGCCTGGGAGTCAAAAGGTGAAGTCGCCTGTCTGGCTGGGCCAAGGGTGGCGATCGTGAGGCCTCATTAGGTGGTTAGACAGATAAAATGTTATTTGCCCCAAAAACCTGATGGGATAATTTGACTTGCTGTGTTTTACTACTGATGATAAAAAGAATATTGATTGCAAATAAATCACAGCCTCTAACTGCCTGCAAACAGTTTGTGCTGGCGAAGGACTGCAAGTCAGAGTGCAGAGGCCCGAAGCGGCGCCTCAGCCCGCCAGCCCAGCCCTGCCCTCCTCCCTGTGTGTGTGTTAAAAGGGTCTTTTTGTTATTGTCAGGATTAAAAATTTAAATTACCTGTCACTGCCTCCCGGAGTGTGGCTGGCCTTTATATGCAGATTAATTTGGGGGCTGAAAGGAGTTTGCTTTCGTTTTAAATGGCCGGGAGTCGGCCGCCGAGCCCGGTGGTTTGTTTGCGCTGGGTGGAGGGGAAGGAGGGGAGGCGGGCGGTGGTGCTTCACCTTTGAGAAAATGTTTTCTCAGCCCAGCTGAAAGGTTCCCCTCCAGCGAGTAGATGAGCTTGCAGAGCTGGGGGTCAGCTTCTCTGGGGGTGGGCGGAGGTGGGGGTGGGCCAGGCCCCTGCTGCTGTGGCCTCTGCGGAAGGCCGGCTCCTGGAACTTTACTCCAGGGACAAAAAAAGTGCAGGGTCCGTGGAAAAGGGGCCGGGGAGGCACTTCTTCCCGAGTGCTCTGCAGGGCCTGGCCCAGCCGGGAGTGGCCGCCTCCCTCCAGCTGGGGACTCACGGATGGTCTCTCTCCCCTCCCCTCCCTCACCGCCTCCCACCTCTTCCCTCCTTTGCGCCCTCTGTGGCAGCAGGGCTCCCAGTACGAACTCAAGGACAACCCGGGGGTTCACCCGGCCACCTTCGCGGCCCACACGGCCCCGGCCTACTACCCCTACGGGCAGTTCCAGTACGGGGACCCCGGGCGGCCCAAGAACGCCACGCGGGAGAGCACCACCACGCTCAAGGCCTGGCTCAACGAGCACCGCAAGAACCCCTACCCCACCAAGGGCGAGAAGATCATGCTGGCCATCATCACCAAGATGACCCTCACGCAGGTGTCCACCTGGTTCGCCAACGCCCGCCGGCGCCTCAAGAAGGAGAACAAGGTGACCTGGGGCGCGCGCAGCAAGGACCCAGAGGACGGCACCCTCTTCGGCAGCGACACGGAGGTTGACGCCGAGAAGGCGGAGGACGACGAGGAGATCGACCTGGAGAGCATCGACATCGACAAGATGGACGAGCAGGACGGGGAGCAGAGCAACGAGGACGAGGAGGACAAGGCCCTGCCCGCCGCCCTCTCCCGGGCCCCGGGCTCGCCCCTGGCCGCCGACGCCCTCAAGCCGCGAGACTCGCCCCTGGGCCCGGCCAAGGAGGCCCCAGAACCGGGCAGCA